CAACACCAATAACATATAAATAATTTTAATAACATAGTTGATAAATTAATAATTAATTTTTATTTTCTCTAAAATAATTAAAGAAAAAAAGTATAATATATACACCTTTAAAACACAAATTAAACAAACTATTGAATTTTGACTGAATAAATTTATAACGCATGTTCATGAAAACGTGTAACACAAAGTTGCATATATGTTCCCGAAAAAAAAACATGGAACACACGTTAAAACCTCGGAAGAAAGATTTGAGACACACTGGTGGCCAAAAAAGGTAAAAAGACACTTGCGATTTCTTGCTAAATATCTTATTCCTCCGTCCATGTTATTTGACCTTTTAGGAGAGAGCACTAGAATTTTAAAAAAAATGTAGTAAAATAAGAAGATTTGAAATAAGTTAAATGTTAATTTTGGGTTTTTTATAGTTTTAGGTCCTCAACTTTTTGATGCATTTTTTTAGTCTTTTAATTATAAAAAATACAATTTTTTCATCATTTCATCAATTATTCTATTAAATATGTTTATATATGCACATTTTTAATTCTTAAATTTTTAAGTAGAGGGACAAAAATTGTATAAAATCTTAAAGTTAATGAATTAAAAATATGCATATACAGATAAACTTAACGAACTAATAATGGAAGGATCTTAAAAAGTGTATTTTTCACAATTAAGCAACTAGAAAAGTGTATTAAAAAGTTAAGAGATCAAAACTATGCAAAATCCTAATGTTGAAATACCGAAATTGGCAGTTTTACCTTTCAAATATCTTATACATACACATACAATTTATGCTAAATATCTTGTTCGGTTGTTCCTTTGTTCATGCTAAATATCTTATTCCTATGTTCATGTCATTACCGTTTTGAAATTTATTTTTTACTTTCTATTTTATTAAAAGAGATCATTAATATTTGAGGGCAAAATAAGTAGGGGTTTTAACTTATTATCTTAAGTGCCTATTTATTTTATTTTTTATTCATTAATTTACATAAAAATATAAAAAAAATTAACATTAATATTAATACTCATGCAATATGAAAGC